ACCCAAGCAGACAAAATTTTTCGAAAACGCGTTTAAGCGCACAAAAAACGACGAAAAATCTAGAAAAAGTGGGCGTGTTTGGATGACAATCGTGGTTCCCGACTGTGAGTGAAAACCGCCCATTTTTCGCCCTTCTGGTGCGTTTAAAAGCGTTTTCAGCCAAAAACGCGTGTAAATGCATAAAAAAAAGAGAAAAAGTGGTCGTTTTTCCCATAGTCGTTACCAGTGACGGGATCATAATTAGGGTTCTCGAGTATGAAAAAACGATCACTCTTTTTATGCATTTACACGCGTGTAAACGCACCAGAAGGGGGAAAATGGGCGTTTTTCGCTCACAGTCGGGAACCCCGATTGTCATCCAAACACGTCCACTTTTTCTAGATTTTTCGTCTTTTTTTGTATGCGTTTGTCTGCTTGGGGAGAGATAATACAAGTTTAGATAAGGAGGGTGTGACGATTCTTTCTCATAACCTCTCCTTCTAGTATGTACATCTTTCGGTAGAGCTACTCTCGTTTGTTTCGTTCTGATCGTTGTCTGTTTTTGTTCTTTTCTTGCTTTGTTCCTTTGCGGTTCTTATCTTTTATGACGCAGTAGTAAATATATATATATTAGGTGTTTTTCTTTTGTTAGAGTTAGTTGGTTGTAGTTTTTTCTTGAAGTGGAGTAAAATAAAAAAGTAATACATATAAAATACGTATCTTGGCAGCGCATACAACAAACTCAACGGCTTATAATTGGAGTAAATATAAGTCATCACAGACGGTTTACTACAATTAGTGAAATTTTGTATGGAAAACGAGGTCTTTGAAGTTGCTGGTAATTAATATAAGCAAGGAATAGGTTTACCGATGGATTCGAGTCTGTCTCCACTGATAGAATAGTTGGTGATCAACAGTTTCATACATACAAATTATGATAGTATTAAATATCCGAATAAATATATTTGGAGATATGTTGATCATATGCTATCTCCATAGCGACTTTCTCCATTTGCACTTCCATCACGTAATGGAGGTATGTCGTAATTAACGACTGTTTTGTAATACCATTACCCTTTCCAGCAGAAAGTCATCGGTAAGATCTGAGGCTCCTATGCCCGTTAACGCATTTATTGTGAAAGTAGTATCCGCATGTTCGTCCTTTGAATCAAAAGTATGGTGAGCACATTGTTCGAAAAGGCAGAGAAGTGTGCTGTCCTCAGCAAATCTTCAATGGTAAGTATAGTAATTTTGCGAAACACTGGCTGATATTTGTCTTGTTTTATCTTTTGTTTATTTAAGAATTAAAATTATCGATTTTGGATGATAAAATATTTCTGCTAGTAGGTTAATAAGTGCAGTTGATTTAAAGTTAATCATCTTTCTTGTGATATTTCGCTTATGTGATCATTTGCAAACTTTTTATTCTAACAACAATAACTGTAGATAAAACAACAGAATACTATTTCTTTTTTTCTCTTTTCTTTTCTATGATTACACACACGTGAAACACAGAACGAAAAACATATTACGCAATATTTTAAAAGGTCAAACTATCACAAAAAAGATGATTCAGCTGAAATTATTACACTATATTGTCAGAAATCGTTACCTCAAAAGCCCTTAAAATGTCGAACGTTGTTATTGTTGTGTTTGTCGTTTGCGTAATATACGGTGTACCTAAGTGCATCTTTATATACTAAGTGTAGATTATATGAATGAAGTAGTTCTCTTCATTTAAAACTGAATTGCAGTATATACTCTATTAGAAGATAAACTAATTTCGGACCTATGATAGCCCCAGATCTAACTGAATGTTCAGTAATTATTTGCAAACTATGAAAGTTTCAATTAGAATTTTTTCTTTTAGGAATTACCACTCTATAATGGCAAGAAAACTTGACAATAATCAACCTTCGTTCCGGAAACGCTTCGGCGCTCTGCGAAATCTGCCTCCCTTCTTTCGGCAAATCTGGCAAACCAGTCCTTCCCTAACTATACTCAATTTTATTCTTCGCCTGTTTCGTTCCTTCGTTCCTACAACCAGTTTATATATGGGAAAATTGATTGTGGACGAAGTGGTGCGGTTGTTCAGCATTCATTCATCGGAATTGAATCATTTGTGGATGCTTGTTGCCATCGAATTCGGATTGGCAATAGCGAATGACTTATTGAGTCGCGGTATCAGTCTGAGTGAGAGTTTGCTAGGCGACTGGTACGCTCATGAAACGTCGATACGGCTCATGCGACACGCCGCAACTCTGGATTTAGCTCAATTTGAAGATGCTACTTTTTATGATAAACTCGAACGGGCCCGTCAACAAACATCGGGCCGTACGCATCTACTTTCGCAAACGTTTTCGCACGTACAGGATTTTCTGACGATCGCCTCTCTAGGCATTGGGCTGATCACTTTTACTCGGTGGCTGCTATTGCTTTTACTAGTAGCCGTCATTCCGTCCTTCTTAGGCGAATTGCATTTCAACGCCAGAAGCTACTCATTACTTTACGGCTGGACGCCCCAACGTCGAGAGTTAGATTATTACCGTTATCTGGGAGCCAGCGATCACACTGCCAAAGAGATCAAACTTTTTGGGTTATCGGATTTTTTAATTAATCGATATCAAACACTATCCGAGCAATATCTCAAAGAGAATCGCAAACTCACCATCGAGCGAGCCATCTGTGGCAGTTTGCTGCTGGCCGTTGGTACGGTGGGATATTACGGAGCCTACGGATACATGGTTTTTCAGACCGTACATGGTCGCGTCACGCTGGGTGAATTGTCCTTTTTGGCGGGTTCGTTTCGCAAAGTACGGAGTTTATTGGAAGCAATTCTAGGTCGTTTCAACAGCATTTCACAAGGAGCATTGCATCTGAAAGATTTATTCGAATTTTTCCAGATTGAGCCTGCCATTGTTTCACCAAGCCAACCCCGTCCTTTTCCCCTTTATATACAGGAAGGATTTGTGTTTGATAATGTTGGTTTTAAATATCCCAACTCCGAAAAATGGGCCATACGGAATCTTAGTTTTACTTTGAAAGCTGGAGAAAAACTTGCGTTAGTTGGTGAAAACGGAGCGGGCAAAACGACCTTAGTAAAGTTATTCGGGCGTTTGTACGACCCCCATGAAGGCCGCATTCTGTTAGATGGCTATAACCTAAACGAGTACGATCTGAATGATCTTCGTACCAACATTGGCGTCATTTTTCAAGATTATTTACGCTTTCAACTTTCGGCGGGCGATAACATTGCCGTGGGCGATATTCAGGAGCGAGAAAATCGTCCAGCATTGATACGGGCCGCTAAACGCAGCCTGGCCCATGATGTAATCGACGAATTACCTCAACAATACGACCAGCCTTTAGGCCTTCGTTTTGACGGTGGTATGGAGCTTTCTGGCGGTCAATGGCAAAAAGTAGCTTTGGCCCGTGCCTACCTTCGCGAAGCGAATTTATTGATTCTGGACGAACCTACCTCGGCCCTTGATGCTAGGGCAGAATATGAAGTTTTCCAACGTTTTGCTGAATTAACCAGGGGCAAAACTGCTGTACTTATTTCTCACCGCTTTAGTACGGTTCGGATGGCCGATCGGATTTTAGTGTTGGAAGGAGGCAAAGAACTAGAAATTGGTACCCATGAACAATTATTAGCGCAAAAAGGTAAATACGCAGAATTATTTGAGTTACAAGCAGAAGGGTACCGATAATAACAATAAACAAATACAATCCGGGTGTTTAACGGAGCCTGAGTAAAATATATACTCGTTTCTTTTTAACACACTTGGATAATATTCTCTCTTGCTACGTATGTTTGTTTATTTCGTCGACTAAACCGTCAATTAAAACTAATTGTGATTTACATTTAGTATTGTGCTAAACAACTTCTAGAACCGTAATAAATGTTTTATTTTAAGTCCTGGTCCAGATTTTGTCTATATTGCGATGAGAGCTAGAAAGCCATACTGACAAAGTAATAATTGATCGAAATGATTTAACTTGTAATTACAGATGAAGACACACGACACAAGAAGTTTAGTTTAGTTTTATTAGACCCGCTACCATTTCTGGTGTAAGGTGAGAATAAAAACACCAGAAAAAAATAACACAAAAAAGGAAAGGGTGTTCACTTTGATGAAAGTAGTATTCGTTTCTATTGAAAATTGAACTACGTTAATTATCAAGATTTAGTGATGCCCATTATTCTCACAAAGTCAAAATCCAGTAGGTATTTACAATCATATTATTTTGTTCATTTAATATTGTTCTTTTTGCACTAATTCTTAGCACACGCTTTGGCATCCTTTGTAATTTCTTGAGGCATAAAGATTTTTCCACAACCAGGACATTGATATTTACCACTGCTGTTCCTAACTAACAATGCTGTTACCTTTTTTTCTCTACTCCCTGTGCCGCCGCTAACTCGTTTCCTCTGTGTTGTACTGCACAGTGTTTATACTCAAAAATAACGTCTTAGGATGAATTTGTCTGCTCTGGGTATTTCTATTAATAAGATCACGTCATTGATCTCTGTCATGGGTCTGTCTTCTTCAGTTGGTAATTTTGAGAAATTCTATGTCATCTTTAACTTTGTCTTCCCACCTCTTTCTTATGCAGCGTTTCGAGGACGTTTCTCTTGTGGGAAGTATGAAAATGTCATTTTCTGCACAACTGATAGTTTGTTATTTCTGTTCATCATTCTGTTGGCATGCCCAAATCACCAAAGTCTGTTTCTACGTAAGATGCCGTCAATTGGTGATTGTCCCGGGATTTCTAAAATTGGCATTCTATCGACTAAATTCACACCGATGACTGTACTTAGGCATTTCATATAAAATGTGTTTATTCTACGTTCATGTGCACTTGTGATAGACCACGTTTCACTTCTATACAATAAGACGCAGAGAACACAGGCACGAATCACTTTTAGTCTCGATTTGGTTGAAATGCTTTTCCTGCTCCAAATCACATGTCTTAACATATTGAATGCCGTTGCAGCTTTACTCAGTCTTGTACTGATCTCACTATCTGGTCTTTGGTCTCTTGTTACTTACATCCTAGGTAGATGAAAGAGTCAACAGTTTCGATCTTTTGATTCCGAATTGTAATGTCAAATCCAGGGAAGACTACTTCTCTATCTTTTAAAAGTTTTCTGTTATGATCTTCTTCGAACTGTTGTAAGGTCATAAGACATGTTTTCTTGACGACTGAAACTCTTGAGTAACTTTTTCAAAAGTTCGTGTGAAAGTCTCAAGATCGTCAGCTGTTTCACACATTGCCACTAGATCATCGGCATAGAGTAAAGCCAAAATATTGAAATTCTCATGATTTTCACGTGCACCATGATAAAAATCATTACTTCCATACGACAACTGAACACCATCCACACCGGCTTCTTCTACTACTTTTCTGATAGTAAAGTCAAATAAGATACTGAATAGGATAGGAGATGGACTTCCACCTTGCAATACTCCCGTTTCAATTAAAAAACTATCAGAAAGTTCACCTTCAATTCTGACCTTGGCCCTTGAGTTCCTATACACCATTTTCAAAAGGTTGACAATTTTCGCTGACATCCCATACTTTAAACAGACTTTCCACAGTAATTCTCGATTGACAGAATCATATTTTGAATTGAATGAACAGAATGAACAGAATTATTTTGTGATATCAATAAAACACATAAACAATGGTTTATTGAGCTCTCTTCTCTTCTCCATCGTAGTTTTTAAGGTGAAGATCTGATCCATAGTGCATCTTTGTGCTCTAAATCCAGCTTGAGCCTCTAACAGTTAATGATCAATCGTATTTTGAATACGGTTCAAAATTAAACGAGAAAATATTTTGCTTGTTACGTTTAGCAAAGAAATGCCTTTGTAATTGTCACATAGTTTTTTTATACCTTTCTTATATATTGGTTTTTTTCTCTTTTAAAGAGAAAAAGCCAATATTGTGTTTCAAATGAAATATCGTCTAATCGATTTAAAAAACAACGGTAGGTTATTGCTAACGCACGAATTCGTTTCATAACGAAAAATGACTTATTTCTATGCCATGAAAGAACATTTTTGAAACATTTTTAATTTATCGTTAAGTTCCAAAATTTAACTATATAAAGCAGCAAGTGGTCAGAAAATTATATGTTGAGAAAGAACGTCGTTTCCGGTTGAATCGGATTAAAAGTTATATAGTTTTGTGAATATCTGAGCCATTCTTTTACTGTTTAGTATCCTTATCAGCACCAGTGATAATAACATCTTGATAGTTTGTGTTTACTCTGTCCAGTGTTTCATATCTAACATCACCTTATTGTGTACACCGAAAGAAAGTTTCAATAAGCTGCCTTTCTCTTTATTAGAACTTTTGAATCATCGTAGTCAAGAATAGTGTGACGGATTTTACCCGTCACGTTAATTCTATGTTTGTTATGATCACGGTGTTAAGCGTAGCCGCTTGACCGAACCCTATCTTATATATACCTCTTTCTATTCTCGTATATCACTATAATTGCAGCTTTGGAGTTCCATAGTCCCGCAGAATATCATAGGCCCCTTTTTTCTCATTAGATTTTTCAATAATACTTCATAATTTCATATTTGTTTTTACTTCTTGAGACAAACAGATAGTTGTTAAATGAGATCGAGTCCGGGAAAAAGTCCTTTTCAACTAGAAACCGGAAGAAAAAATCTTGATCACTCCCATTTCTATTGTCTACGTCCAGATGTCTAAATCACTAAATCAGTAAAAGTCTAAGGGACTAACAGTCTAAATGTCTAAAAGCCTGAATGTCTGCATGTCTGCATGTCTAAAGGTCTGAATGTCAAAAAGTCTAAACTTCTATAATTCTAAATGTCTAAACGTCTTAAGGTCTAAAAGTTTAAAGGCCAAAAAGTCCAAATGTCCAAATGTCAAGATGCCTAAAAGTCTAGAGGTCAAAAGGCCAAAATGACTAAATGGCTAATCTGTAAAAGTCTAAATATCAAAAGGTTTCCAGTATCAAGATATAATGAAAATGAAAAAGAATCCTACAGCTCATTTATACGCCAACCTATAACTATGAAGGCGTTCAAAACCCACAGTTCAGAACCAAAACAAAACCTCGCACATGAGAGGAAACATCATCATGAACAATGTCGTTGATCACATAGCTCATGAATGATTCGTAAAATACTTCGGTTCAAATATACATCATCATGAGCAATGTCACTCACCAGATAGTTAACGGATGATTCACAGTTTTATGGTTCTATCTAGATATCTCACAGCTTCCAATTCAAAACTAAAACGTGACGTCTCAAATACAAAGCTGTCGATATTGTGCATTTTTCAACCGACTCTAATTTATATAATAGTTTTGCCTTTGCATGAAGTTCAGTTTTCAATTCATGTCCACATTTATTTGTATAGGGTTCTAAATTTATCATACATACTTGTGTAGTGACAATATGTGGTGCTGAGTGATATTTTTTTATCATTTTATCAACATTTGAATACAAAAATAAATCTTTATAATCTTGACGCCGACACACAAAATCAATGGCAGAACTAACTTTTGTTACTTGATAATCAGTGTTAAAATTCATATTCAATATTTGCACAATATGATACAATTTTTTATCTAATTCATTTGGTAAAATATCTGATAATTTCACTGCACATGCCAAATGATTGAGTTTGATTTTACGAGATAAATTTATTAATATTTTCTCTTGTTCTGACACACCAACTGTATGTTGATATTGTTGTTGTTGAACGTTGTCCACGTCCATCTTTTCACTCATATCTGAAAAATGAAAAAATAAAAACCTTTTTTAATGACCCACCTTTCTTTTATATAGTGGTCTACCTGTCCTCTGTTTTTTAGCCGCTCCACTTTCCTATTTAGCTTGACTTCTACAGTGGTATGACGAAAGAGCCATTTTTCATTAAGATAATATTCTTGTTATTTCAAATGCAGTTGGAAAGGACGGGTGCCAATTTTTTTTTCCACTTTTTAATAAAAATAATGTCTATTCCTATAGGTTCGAGCACGGTGATCACGAATATCACAACCGCAGCTCATAAAAATGTTTCCTCGTTGAATGGTGACCATGACAATTTTTTCTCCCAAAGCCCAGTATTTTTGGTCTGGGCCCTATTATCTCGGTTCGATTGTGTTTTGGAGGGCTGGAAATACTTTATCTATATGTAATTCGACATGCTATCCGAATGTGAAAGAATTAGCTTCGAGAGATGCAACTGAACTCCGTGGTCTTACATCACCTGGCCGACGTTTCACTCGGGCGGGTTTCCAATCTGCCCGTAGGGCAGTTGGCATCTAGTTAAGCGGACTTAGTGAACGTAGTTCACTGTCGGCTTATTGCTTTTCTCCAGAGTCCGCATGTTTTTCTTTCTTTCTCTACACCTCGATCGAGTTTTTCTGCGCGTCAATCTCGGTAATTTCAAGCCATAGAATGCTGGGACAAAAAAGAGAATATAAAACTCACACTGAATACGACACATCCGAGGTTGTTTTCGCGTTACCCTTTTTAGTTTTCTTAGGGATATGCCGTAAAGAGGGTCACTCAAAATTTGGGACTTGGAAACTTTCTCATATGAGATAATTAATCGTCACATGATATTCTTCGTAGTGAATATATACTATAGTACTTGAAATGATGAAAGCTATATAGTAGGATGTATGATAGCATAATGAATCAGCTGATACGATAATGTGAATAATATGCTGAAGAAGCTAAATGTAGGTGAATAAAACTCGAAACATATTTTTGTCGCTAAAGGAGAAAACACTAGGTTCTTTCACTGAGATATTTCCGGTTTTAAATTAATTATCTGCGTAGCTTATGGCATAGCTAGAAGCTAACAGGTTCCAGAAATGTTTCACTCAGTCGGCTTCCAATCTTCGCAGAGCGTAGTTGGCATATATTTTTCTATCTTGCACACTTTATTCTGTAACAACTGTCTAACTAATTACCTCTCTACACTTAACACAACTCGGTTGTGTTTTTCAAGTGTAGAAAATTTTTAATAGTCGCTATTCATTACCCAAAATTTCAGCTCAATCCGTCTGGCGAAAAAAAGTCGACTTTTCAGCTCCCTCATAATGTATTTATATATAAAATTTACATATCGGTGAACATACGAGAAACAGATGAAAAAAAATAATGACGTCAGTGATACAGGACAGAACATAACGAAAGCGAGGAATTGCCAGTCCGTCATGAAACCGCCTAGAATGAAAAAATTAACATATATTTTTTATTAGCTCATTCGATTCTACGCCAAAAAACTGGCGTTATCCGAATATTTTAAAACCTTTATACCCAATACCCCCTGAGTTATAGGCTCGGTAAAAAGGTTCACTAGGAGAAACCGTGAAAAAGTGCAATTTTCCGAACTTTGTATCTTTTTCCGCCATTTTTGGTGGTGTCGAGTCAAGCAAAGTCTCATTCGAAAGAGCATACAAAACTGCATTGACCGACATGTCCGGTTAAAACTTCCGAATCGAAACTGAATTTTTAAAGTTCCGATCAAGTGAAAAATTCGTGTTTTAAAAACTGAACTTTTTTGATTGCAATCGAATTTTCTCACTCCAGTTGAAAGCAGCAGTAGGAGAGAAATCGTCAAACCAAAATTATGTTCGTGCAACGAGAATTTTCCTACGAAACTAGCATAAGTTACTTCTAACTGGCGAAAAAACTCCGATATCTCAATTTTGCCATCATCCACGTACGAGAATTATGCTACGTCGTGTGAGCCGTATGCACAATGTAGCAGATATGATGACAATTCTCATGTAAAAGCATTATTCTCCTGAACCAGGCAAGAAAGTTTCAATTAGGACATCCTCGTGACTTAGACAAGATAGTTTCTATGACGATGGACTCATTCGCATAGAACTCGCGAGAACAGAAATGTATCCGCCCAAATATCAGCAGCAGATGACAGTGAATTTATATCTATAATCTCTCTTTTCTATACTCCACAACTATTTTACTTTTTTGAAACCACGTGATCGTTATTTTTGTTGTCTTTCTTCTCGTGCTTAATATTGTCGACATCCAGTTGTGAACCCGATTCTCAATTGATCCAAGGACAAGTGAATGATGCTCGTATCCAAGGTATAGCGGCTTTTCCCACATGATAATAAAGTTGCACTGCGGGCTGATGACATGTTACCGGCTGTACTCCACCTATTCGATGTTGGATCGTAGAGTTCGCAAATAGACAAGCTTTTCCACAAATCTTAGGAATTCATAAGGATATTCATAACATACATTCAAATTTTAGGATATTCATAAGAACCACCTGTTACTAGTACTTTTCCACATGATAATAAAGTTGCAGTCTGCGCTGCGCGGACTGATGTCATGTTACCGGCTGTAGTCCACATAGTCGATGTTGGATCGTAGAGTTATTAGTTAGTGATAAATCGTAAAAACGCCATTCTTTTGATTGTACTGCTGTAGAAGAAGATCATTCTTGCTTTATTTTATTTCTAGTTGTGCGAGTTAAATGAAATGTACGTTTCTAAATGTGTAGGTGCATCTGGAAATAAGAGATGAGTAACTTTCAAGCCATAGTAGCTACGCAACTAGAGATGCACCGGTTACGGTTATAACCGAACAACCGATAGCGGTTATAACCGGTTATCGGTTGTAACCTATACCGGTTGTAACTGATAGTTATAATCCGTATTCTCAGAGAAGTTTTATGACAAATAATTCTAAACTTTCAGCCTTCGTTTTTTATACTTCTTCTATATTTCAAATAAGCAAATTAAACTATTTCTTGAAATAAATTTATTTATTACGGTGTAGAAAGCAAGAATTGCTATCCTCACAGTAAATGATGTATCGTTCATCGGTTACAACCGGTATCGGTTACAACCGGTATCGGTTACAACCGGTATCGGTTACAACCGGTATCGGTTACAACCGGTATCGGTTACAACCGGTATCGGTTACAACCGGTATCGGTTACAACCGGTATCGGTTACAACCGCTCATCGGTTAACCGTAACCGGTGCATCTGTATACGCAACAGTGTCTTTCATCCTTCGTCTTCGGATAGCATAAAGCGAACATACACTTTTGCTCTTCATCTGAATTAGTATCCATTAACGTTAAATTAGTTTACTTTACTAGCTTAAAGTCCCCCAACAAGTCAACGAAAAAATTCAAACAATTCCTCATTTAGTACAGAATTTCACGGGCTATCTTAGAAGTTTTAGAATTCATTTTTGAGTGCTGAGTAGGTCTGGTTTCTTTCCCCACGAAATAATTGATCAAGTGTCTTGCTACGACTGAGTCTGTAATAGTAAAACGAGAGACAGTAATTGAACGGAAAAAACAAGTTCGTTCAAACCTCTGACAGCTGAACGTGATATTTCTGAATATGGTGCAGGAGCTCATTAAAGATATCAGTTTTATATACTTGTTTCTTTTGTGCGTAGTGAATTCAGTCACTTGCTACGTGTTTTTGAAACAAAGACTATGTTGAGATTTCCAGTGGAATAAACACAGGCTGTAAGATAGCCTATCATGTAGCCGGTGAAATTCTGTATCATGAGGAATTGCTTGAATGTTTCCATTGAGTTTCTATTTTATTACCACCGGTGGGTCTCATCGTGGCGAATGTGTTAACCAGTGACAAAAAAAAGGCTCAAGATAAAACACTGTACTGATGATAAATATTTTACAGAAATTACTATGGACAATCTAGTTAAGTAAATTGAACTGTGCTTGAGGATAATTCACTGGAATTGATTCGCGTTTACTTTCATCCGAAGGAAACAAACAAAACAAATGAAATTTTTCAAAAATCAGCTGACAGATAATATGATACGAGTAAACAAATATTTTTCTATTTTTCTATTTCTTTGCTTTAATGTATTTCTAGCGATGTAGTTTCGTTGAAAGGGAAGTTGTTTTCTCTGCTTTTTCGAGTGCTGTTTCGTGAAAGTGGCCTTAAATTAGATAGAAGGGTGAAAAGAATATGACTCATACTGTGAAGTATGAGGTTGTATGAGAAAATATTTTTGAGTTGGCTCGTATATATGAGAAGAATTTCGTTCTAAAATTGAGGCAGACGGCCGATTGGTGGCGACATCCCTTGCGTATGGTATAACTCGTGAGTGAAGTATATCTATGTGACGATGAACTACTAACTAATAACTAACTAACTAGATGATATGAATCTCATTGAAATCTTTGATATCAACAATTATTACCTGTATGAGGCTAACGGATAATGGTTGTATCTTATATGTATACTAAGGTAGAGTTTGTAAGTTTTTATACTTGATTGGATCTTGCAAAAACCGATGAAGGATATCGTCGACAAGTAGTCACATTTTTACAGTTGCTGATGTCATTGCTCACATGACTGATACAATGGAATTTCCTAGTTCGACTCAGTACATTTTCTTACTGAACTTGCCGCCATTTCGGTGGCCTTTCACTGTCTCTATGAACTGACTTTGCTATCATATGACATTTTCCTGTAATGCATTTTACATGCACTTCTGCAAGTTAAATATATTTATGTACCGATAGCACAAATGTTCCTGGACCATATAGCAGGTTTTCCACAAACCCTTGTGTTTTCCTGTAAGATTAATTTTCATAATCCAAGGAGCATTTATAAGAAACACTAAGGTAATATTTAGAATCAGCGCACCAAACCGCATCGAATTATGTACAATTCCACTATATTCTGAGAAGCTTTTCCAAACCAAAGGCCGAAAATGTTGTGTTCGTCTTGAAAACATCAAAGGCGGTAAACGATCATCTTCTCAAAAAGGTTTTGCCTTCGACGGCTCGCAACACCCGTTCATCACCTATTCCCACAAAACACAAACGCACACATCCCATTTTTATTCCAGACACAAAAAAATCATTTACATCCAGCTCACCTAAACTACCGTTCGCTTGTTAATCGTATACATAACACTGCACATAACTAACCTGACACAAAACTACTGATACAGTTCGCAACTAGACAAGCTTTTAGGATATTCATAAGAACCACCTGTTACTAGTACTTTTCCACATGATAATAAAGTTGTCCTGTGGAAACTGCGGGCTGATGACATGTTACCGGCTGTACTCCACCTATTCGATGTTGGATCGTACAGTTCGCAACTAGACAAGCTATTCGATGAATCATCACCACTTGTTACTAATACTTTTCCACATGATAATAAAGTTGCAGTGTGGCGGTATCGGGCTGATGACATGTTACCGGCTGTACTCCACCTATTCGATGTTGGATCGTAGAGTTCGCAACTACACAGGCGTGTCGATGAAGCATAACCACCTGTTACTAGTACTTTTCCACATGATAATAAAGTTGCAGTCTGCGCTGCGCGGGCTGATGACATGTTACCGGCTGTACTCCACCTAGTCGATGGTATCGCTTGTTTGGTTTTGCCTAGAAACACAGACAATGTTACAGTTCGACGCAATGCTACTGCTGTTCATTTATTGGATTGTAGTCACTTTCCTGCTAAGCCGAATAGCAGCGGTGCATGAGAAAACACTCGTCAGGTAACTTTCATTGATAGATTTGTAACTTTTCAGGCTTAATGCAGCTCGCTAGGGTATACCTACCTTCTTTAGGCTCAGACAATTTAACGAACGGTGGTTCTAGAAAACGGTATGGGGGCTGCTTTTCCTGTAACTGAATTATGTGAAGGCCTGGTGCCGGACTCAGGTTACCAAGCACAACGAATAAAAGCCGGGTAGGAGGAGAATTTCATCTTCTTCCTGGAAGTACGAATGTTGGCGAAGCATTTTGCCATTGTAACATTCGATGTTAAACAGAGTACGTGTGCCGCTATTTCCCAAATATTGAGGACACTCAAGAACGTTGAGTGCTCCAGTACATGATGAGATTGCCCACCACGTATATTCCTCTCCGACTTCAAAATCACGGCTTAAGTCTTCTTTGACGCCACGCCATAGAACTTGTTTGGTCGACGGTAACTTCCACAGAGCGGTGATGAATAATTCGAGGAAGGAAAATCACGGCTGCAGTTTTCGCCTATCCGGGATGCGGAGTGATCGATTAAGCTGTGAGTAAAGTGAATGTCCGCCCTGTTCCCATTCCATTGTGTACACGTGAATAGCAGCTGCTTCATCCGACGACAGATTGTCAGCTGGATTCCTTGAGTTTCGTTTGGCAATACGAATATTCTGAGCCAGTTCATCATCAAGAAGATCAACCACATGTTTAACAGCTTCTTCAAGAGACATCAACGATACCTTTTCGTATCCGGCAATTGGCTTCAGCTCTTGTTTAGGCTCATCTTTTACACTCATCAAATACCGATGATTCACATTGCTTGCGAAATTGTTATCAGCAGGATATTTGGCCGCCATTTCTCACTGTATATACCGTTATAATAAAAAGCAACACAATAATGTTCTTCCTATAAGAAAGCAACAAACACAAGTTTTTCTCTTTTACTTCTTCTGTTATTATTTATCTTCTTTATTATTGTAATTCACCTTGAGTTTGCGAACGTGAACTGCAATTTTGATTCGCCGTGACAACTAGAAAAACATACATTTTTAACCATTTTTTATAGATTATTGTTAAACAGTGTCAAATGCACATTAATAAACACATTTTTCATCGCAAAATTGCAGTTTCATGGTAATCTAAGTTTTGTTCTCTGATTATTCTAGGGGTTACATCATCTGAACTATGTTATCATTACATTAATCCCATGAATCTGTTATTCGGATAGAAAAGTCGGACACAAAAGCCTAATGTTTATGTTTGGTTTAAACTATATTTATTAGGAAAGAATGCCGTAATAATTCAAAATCCTGGGCCTCCTGTTTCTCATTTCTATCAACGGCAGTGCTAACTTAGAGTTAAAAGGCATGCTATATCTATATGCAGACGACGCATCTATCTTTTATACAGTGACACCTAATGACTCTGCATCTTCCCTAACAATCCAGGATGACTTGGATAAATTAAACGACTCAACCGATAAATGGTTAGTCAACTTTAACAGTGATACGACTTCTACTGCGTACGTTAAACCGAACGTAAGGTGGTATTAGTTCATTAAACATACAAGAACAGTTTCACTTGCGAATAGGCGTCAGAATGTCTAGAACGAATTTTATTAGAAACGATAGCACTTCACATTAATCCACGTGTACTTTTTTCATGCAGTTCTTTTCTATACATGTTTATCTACCCGTGAAAAATTTTTAAGCAAAATTCTTACGAAGGTTCACGCGTGAAATATGGTAAAAATTGATCGACAAGCATAAGTACAATTCTACATTCTCTGATGTCAAGCTGGCGCAATGATAACGTTATGGATTTGCTATTCTAAGTGCCTTGGTTCGATACTAAATTTCAGGAAATATATACCTCGGAAGCCACGATTGTGTCACGTGTGACTACGGATGAAGATTTTCCACGCAAATGTTTGCGCTAAAATTCTCGTACACAAGTGAACAATCTTCACGCGTGGACACGCACTTGATGTTGCAACTGCACGACCCTGATGCCGTGAACTCACTCTCCTTACCTACACAATTTCGTGAAAATTCAAGCTGGCATTTCACTGCCTCTCACGCGTGAAAGTCGATAAAATTTCTCCATGGGGGTGCCTGCATAGGTACCTAAGAAAAATGCGAGTACTCGGGTACCTATCGTTAAGTACATTCATTAGGGAGGCCTTCAAAATGAGCCAGCCACTTTTGATCATATCCTGAGCGTGTTGTGGTACATCTATCAAACAGTTACAAATTAAGCTCGGTATACCATCCGTTAGGCAAAGAATTCAATATTTTAAATTAAATTTAACTCATAAAATCATGCACAATCAGACGCCTTCCTACCTAAGAAGTTTAATTACTGTATAAACACTCGACTTTACTCTTTCCCTAGTGAGCTCCACTAGCTTTTGACGGTACTAGTAAAAAGAGCATGAAAAACTGAATATAATCCATAGATGAAAAACTGTATAGATAGAAAAGAATACTACCCCCAAAACGGCACACATCTATCTATCTGTATGATAGCGTAAAAAGTGCGGACAACAGTCTGTAACGTTTCTGAACCAAAAAGATGGTGATTTTCTATACAGAACAATTGAGCAATCGTGATTAAAAACTAAGACGGCCATTCGGCGCGGCTTACTGAGTTACCCAATGGCCCCAGAAACTATGACCTGAAGTCTCTTGGTAACTGTGGTATAAAATGTTGAAAGTCGCCTGTTGCTACTGCCAGTACAACAAACACATTCACATTTAATAACGCGTGATATTGTTGTATGAGCAGATGTTGCTTCAGGACTTTCAGCACGAGATGAGATTTGTAGTGTGATATGAGTAAGAGGTATAGCATGTGTCGGGTGTGTGTGTGTGCGTCTACGTGGTGTAATAAGAGCTGGTGCTTGGCAATTAAGTTTTACAAGTACAAAAAAAGAGGCAATAATGGGTCACAATCATAGGTCTTAAGTTGCGTCAACCACAAAAAAAGAGAGCTTCAAATAGTTGTTTCGATACTTGTTGAGTGACTGTTATCCGTCGGAGATGCAGGGGCCATTCTAAGTAGTTGTGACCCTAGAAAAACTAAATCTCTAAAAACACTTATATTTAGCTCAATTTACTCCTTCCCAGATATATTTCTCTTCGTGCTCCTTGTTTGAAATTATTATTAACGAGAATTATCAATCACGAGGGTCACGAGAGGTAAAAATTAGAATATTGTCTAAAAAAGAGTGCAGAAAAACAATGTTTCAGAAATTTTAAAAAGTAACAAAAAGCTTACTTAATGAGGTTTGATTGTAGCCTGCACATTTCTGATTAAAATGAGACATCTCCCGGCTATAGAAGAGTTTTTTTTGCAAAGTTATATCGAAAATATCGACTTTTTTTATTTGGACTTTTTCAGCTTTTTTCATCTGAAATGACATAGTTTAACATCCTGGACACCCAGAAAGAATCAGAGATGCAAAACAAGAACTTTTTTTACTTTCTAAGGCCAAGGTTTTCCTTTATTTTCTATGTAAGTTGTTCTTACACATGCTCAGAGTACCCAGCTGAATGTTTTTTGTGTTCTGACTGTCCATGACGCTAAACTGTTTCATTTCAGATGAAAAAATCCAAAAGAGTCCAAATCGAAAAAAGTCGGTATTTTCTGTATTGATATATACCGAAGCTCGGTATTTCCGGTATCGGTCTTTTCGTTATCGGTATTTCGGTATGGATACCGATACCGGTGCATACTTAGAAAAAACTTAAATTAGGGCTTGTATTGTAAACCTTATAACTTTGCAAAGAAAGCTCTTCTACAGCTGGGAGATGTCTCATTTTAATCAGAAATGTGCAGGCTACAATCTGGCATCTTTAAGTAAGCTTTTGGTTACTTTTTACTATTTCTGAAACACTGTTTTTCTGAAACCCGGATCTCTGCTGACCAATGGGTAGCTGCCATGGGCACTCGCGGAATCAGCATAGTCGATGACCTATAATCCACTAGGTTTCGTCTCAAAAGCGATTGAACAGTTGGCGGCCTTCCCTAGTCAGCAGTTTGACACTGTGATCAGTCATTTGACAATTTAGACTTTTAGACATGCAGACATTCAGACTTTCAGACATTTAGAGATTTAGACTTTTAGACATTTAGACTATTACAGATTTAGCCATTCAGACATTTTGACATTTACACATCTCGACTTTTAGGCATTCAGACTCTATGCCACATTTATACAAAAGCTTACAAAAAAAGATTCTAAACCCATATGGTTTTTTGAACGGTTTTCCGGGAAACTTTCGGACAGAAACATTGTTTTCAAGTTTTTTTGATCATACAATCACTTCAAAAGGATAAACTAATATTACCTGGAAGTTTCCAACTCGACCTGATATTATTCAGCGTGATCGATTACGTATGTTTTATGCAATTTGAAGACCACCTGAAGTCACCTGATACTAGTCCTGGGGTTCCAAGGAAACACTCCCACACCGTGCTTTAACCACTGCAAATGAAGTCCCGCTGGACTCCTGTTTTGAAGAGAACATCTAGCGCTACCCTTCCGTGAAAAAAAGTAGTATATTGCTATGTTAACTTTCCCCTTAATGAAACGGTTTTCCAATGATCCCTCTAGAAAACCCCTCAAGAACTCTTCAAAAACATTTCTTCTTACGTGCATCCACGTCCCAAGTGCCTGCCTACACGATGGTGAAAATCGCAGGTCCGCAGCTAGTAGGGTCTCAGAGTTATTCGAATCGCAACTACTCACATTCTATTTTGAAATGGACAGTAGTCATATGTTTTTTGATAAGAAAGAAAAGAAAATAGTAGAATTTCTGGTGATATGTTCTAATTGTCATTTTTATATATATATATGAAGAAAAGAGAGAAGGGTAGCAGAATTTCTAGTCGTATACTTTATTTATCTTGTTAACTTGTAAAGTATAACATTTTCTTTACTGATGATGAATCGTTACTGATTCGAAAGCTCTACGCAAAAAACCTTTATAGTCCGTGCCGGGAATTCATAAATGTACGGAACCGATATCAAAGGTACACGCTACGCGCTGAGACTGTTCCAGTAAATGCGTTTCCCATACAACTGACCTAAAGTAGGTATGCACCAGTTCTAGAACTGGTGTTTGGGCATTCGGGAAAACGTTTATTACTTGGCAATTAAAACCATCTCAAAGTTGCGGAATATCTCATTTTGTAGAGAAATGTTTGCTCTACAGAACTCACTGCTTCAAAAAGAATGTAAGTTTAATTGTGTCAATAGTACGTTCTGTTTAAAACAGTGAAACTATTCCTCTCAACAAGCCCAAACACTAGTTCTATAAGTGATGCATACCTAACCTAGACTTCCAAATAAAAATCAATTCAAAGAAGGAATAAAGCTGATGTGTCCATTTGGAATCTCTTATTTACGTCCAAATCATTTATCATTTAATTTATTTAGTAAAAGAATCTTACTGGTGATCAAATTGCGTGAACAAGAAAAGGAAAAAAAGATATATATATATAACATAAATGAGAAGTCAATGGAAAATGTTTGCTACATGTGTATTGTAGGCTATAACAAAGTGTGATCTGTGAAAAGCAGATGTTCTCAGATCGAAACTTTGATCGACTGTTGTTGCAGTTCATACTCGCACTGGATTTATTGCAGACCTACTACAGCCGTTTTTATATGGTGAACCTGAGACAGAATTCGATGCAATATATCGATCCATCAGGAAAATTTTTAACTGTGCGATAAACGATAAAACTATGACTATTTCACCTGAGTTTGAGGAAGAAATATCCAACAGAT